CCTCCGGAGTCCCGACGCCCCGCGGGCGCTGCCTAAGGAGGCGCTTTCACTTTCCCCCGGGGAAGGCGCGTCACTTTCGCTGCCGGCAGCCCCGCGCGCTCTCCTTTCCCCGTCCCTGCGTGTGAACGGGCCGACTCGGGCGCCGGGCCCCGGGCTTTGGCTTTCCCCCGATCGCAGAAACTTTGCCGCGTGGGGGGGAGGGGGTCCGCGACGCCAGTCAAAGCCGAGGAGCGGCGCGGGCTAGCGCCATCCCCGCTTTGCGCTGCGGAACGAGCTCGTTCACCGAACGGAACCCGGTTGCCGATTTCTCTGTAAAGTTTTCCTTTCGAGTTTCAGCTCCGCAGACGAATGCTTTCCCCCGCTGTAGGCTCAACTCTGCGGGGAAGGCTTGTAATTCTTTCCTAAGCATTGTGTAGGGGTAAGTGTGCAACGTGAAGAGGCGGCTTGCTTGATTTCTCCCTGAGTGCAAACCGACCATCTCACCGCCTTTCTTGGCGGAGGACGAGCAGGCTTGTGTTAAGACGCTAGGCAGGGTGGACAGAGGGCCTGGACCTCACTGGAGAAGCGTTACACTGAAGGAGCTGGACTTTGGCAGGTCCCAAACGCTTTCTAGACCTCTGGAAACTTCGTTGTCCCGGTCTTCCTTCTGACTATCCCGCCCTCCAAGGTGTGACAACCGGAGGACAGAGGAAACGACCAGCTTCTGCTGCCTGATCCGCGAGGGCTGTTTCGCGCCCAGAAGTCTTTCCTCCGCCCTCGCCCTCGCCCTCGCCCTCGGTCATTTCCCCGCCTGGGAATCAGGAGGTCTCCTCTTGCCCCCGCTGTGAGCTGAACATGCGCCAGAATGCCGTGGCCAACTTGCCACCCAGTGCCATCAGAAGGACCCGTAGGAAGGAGTTCTTCCTCTGAAATAATTAATGTCGAAATCAGTGTGGTGCACCCTTGGAGATAAATTGGTTCAGGAGGAGGAACGATATTAAGAAGCAACGCAACTGTACTGTTTTTCCTCCAAATCGTGTGTAGATTCCCTGAAAAGCAGATAGCTGGAAGATGACACAGGGAGAGAGAGAAGTATCAGCATGAGAATGGTGAAGCTGCCTCTAAACTATTTTGGTGCCTTTGTAAGGGGGGGGGGGACGGGGAATCAGTAATTATAACCAGAATTTTATCCCCCAGTTGTGATCTGCTGTAGGGAGACCTTCATTTTGAACTGCCTTGCGAAGATGTCATTCTCAGCTGGTGGCTGCATCAACCTAATAATTCCAGGTTATCTCCAGAAAGCTGAGCCACATCAGGCCCATGGATGGGAGACCACCAGGAGTATGGACTAGACAGGGGGAAAGAATCTCAGAAGAAGGCTATGGCAAACCTCACCCAAGAAGACTCCCAACCTGTTCCCATCAGGAGTCAAGTACCAGCTTGAGGGAGACTTTGGGGATTCAAAAGTTGAACGGAGTGTACCCTCACTTGGCTATTGACTCCGAAGTAAGTTTGCCCTGGGTTCAGTAAGCCTTCCCTGCAGGAAAGGGCGTCAGGTTGCATCCACAGGAACGGAAGGGCCAGGATTGCTGTAAAAGTAGCCCCAGACTCAGGTATTTATCTGAAGCGGGTTCTTCCTTTTTTACCATTAAAACCAGAGGAATTACTTTTAATTCCATGCTGATGTTTAATGGCTAGGAACCACCCTGTTTTAGCCAGCTAATAAAAGCAATCATTCCCTTAAAAATAAATAAATAAATAAATAAATAAATAAATAAATAAATAAGCAAATATGTAAATAGTCTCAGTGTTTCAGCTGCATGACCTCCGGTCTCACCACAATAGCCTGTGGTTTATAAGGCCCATTTTTCAAAAAGCGTCTTTAATCAAGTAACATTTCAAGGCTGAATCCTTGGATATCAAGAACTTGAGGGGGCACGGGAAGCTGCCTGAAGGAGATAATGTAATTGGGATTCTGTACAACATTTGCACTTTTCTGTTTACAAAACAAGATTGGAAAGTCTTGCCCAACTGCCTTTGCTTCCGAAGGCTCACCCTCAACGTCTACATGGCAAATTTCCAAAATATACATCTGCGCGGACCCCTCCGCCGGTGCTTGGAAGTCTATCTCAGAAAAGCACATTGGAAATGCGGCGTGTGAGCAAAGAGGCATCAAACGATAGCCTTTCTTTGTCTTTGGTTTCGTTTTAATCTTGGTTCAAATTAATAGCGGGTCTAGAAGCTGGGGGTCTTTCAGGGCGGGAGAAAATGAGCCGCATCCTGAAGCGGCAGAGGAAAAAGACGCCGGCTCGCCTTCCCGGTTGCGCCGATCCCGCCCGGCCGAGCAGAGCGGCAAGGAGACAAG